TGTGTTTTTTTTATTCTCTGTACTATTCCAAAGCTAAATTCAACAATAGTGTTCATCACAGCCTCAGACAGAACCAAGGCAGGGTTGTTTGTCTTTTATTTTCCAAATCGGAATACGATTACATCACATAGCGAGAAAGACGGGAGAGCGAGACAGAGAAAAAGAGGAGACACCTGGGCTCGGGGACAGGGAGAAACACGAGTTTAAAAATAAGGCAGACTACCAAAAAAAAAAAAAAATTTGAAAAATAATATTTCGCTAAACCAATGACTTTTCCAGCTACTCATCGTAGTTTCGTTTTTAAGAACATTTTTTAATATGTGTATATATATATATATTTTTTGGTAAAAATGTCATCCTATTTTTTTTTCCTTTTTTAAAAATATTTTGATAAATATTCCCCAGAAGCCTTTTTGAATTTCCTTTCGGATCCGTGACCGCAGGCCAGGCTGGGGAAAAACAAACAAACCTTCCATGCATATTTCCACAACGGGCGCTGAATGAATGTGTCTTACATCCTCCTGGAGACCTGGACTCAGGTTGCCACTTGGACCACAAGTGAGGTCTAGTTCCCGTTATTTTATAGGCACATTCCCTGGGGTCAAACTGGCGGCCCCTGAGGTTAGCGCTCTCTCAGACATGCTCAGGTTGGCCGTTCGGGGCCTTAATATAGGTGGAACTGGCTCTCTGAGAATCCCACACCGGGGCAGGGAGTTGGTGTAAAGGGGTAGATCAGGGGTGTGACCAAAGCATACCGTGCACTGGCTAGTCTCTGCTTCCCAGGGCCCCTTAAGGGACATGGGGAGCAGAGCATAAGCTAGAGCAGCCCCAAGGCTGCTCGAATTTAAACTGCAGACTGGGCAGGGCTTCTGCACGCCCATGGATCACAGGAGGCCTGATTTTCCATTGCCCTGTGCCTTCTGCGGTATGCTTTGGTATTGATTCACAGCCACTGGTGTAACTAAGCACACAAGGTGCTGGGTGAAGGGTAATTGGGCCTAGAGAGCATAAAGGAGCTCTAAAGCAACTCCCCCCCCAATCCCAAACACACCCCATGCTCTGAGCACAGGAAGAGCAACCAAGAATCAAGCCAGTGTCTTTCTCTGAGGCTTCAGCCCTAGACTTGGTCTCTGGCTACCCCATTTAGGAGTCCGGCAGAGCCCCTGAGGGCGCTAAGACTGTCTGGTGAGGGCTGGAAGCGCCATGGAGGCAGCACACCCCCAGCTCCTTGTGGTGTGGACACCCCCATTCCTGTCTCTCGCTTCCTGGGATGGTGGGTCTGAGCACACAGCTTCTAGCAAAGGTAGCACCCCCAAAATGGCATCATTGATGGGTTCCCCTTGGCCAACAGGAGCTGCTGGAATGTGGGGCTTTTGGAGAAAGGAGAGCTCCTTTAGGGGAGACTCCTCCTCACACAGATGTCTCCTAGAAAGGCTCTGCCCAACAACGGCCCACCTCCTGCCGTTGCCCAGCAGAATGCTCAAATGCACCTCCCAAAAAAGTCCTGCAAAATCAGAGGCCCTGCGCTTGAAAATCTTCCAGCTGTCTCTGCGGAACAGCAGCTGCCCTGCTAGTTCCGGGCGCTGAACACCTGGTACCCAGCTCTCCACCGGCCTGCCCGTGGGACAATCCTTGACACCAGTGCCAAACAAGCGGGTGGCATCGGTAGCATTTTGCACCCATGTAAACGACTGCACAGGACGCGGGGCGCTGGAGAACCAGGCCCATTAGACAGGCAAAAAACTGGGCTAGAGGCAATGCAGAGTCCGCTCCTGTTCCCATTCACGTCAAACGGAAAAACCTGCAGCAGGAGCAAGGCCAAAATCCAGAACTCAAGTAACCCACGTCCACCCTGCTTTGGCCTGCTGGAAGACATCCTGATCTGTGACCACGCAGGATCGACACGGAACCCCAGGCCCCATGGCTACATAGCCACACCAAGCCAAGCCACTAGATTTGTAATGAAAACTACTTTCAACCCAGATCTTTGTTCCGCCTCGGGGCAACAGTCAGCAGCAAAGTGCCAGCGAATCACTGCTCTATAGCCTCCAAGGTTTTTCTATCTTTGTCCTTCCACGCGACGGTCACGGATACAACTGGTTATGGGTGGGAGTGGGAGGGCCAGTACGGAGGGTACATTTTTTCCTCTATTGCCTCAAAAAAATTAATGTTTTTGAATTTTTTCAACTATAGAAAATTTTCCCCATTTTTTAAAAAGAAATGTAGTCAACATTTCAATGTTTGTCAAAATGGCCAGCCAAAGTTTCAAAATTCCAGCAAGAATCGTGTCAAAAAGTCACCATTCCCACAAGAATTGTGTCACAATTTTAAAACTCCAGCAGGAATTTTGACCAGCTCTGGTCGCGAACGTTTCGGAAACATCACGTGGGTGGGCAGCCAGTTGTATCAAAGCCCTCATGTCGTTGAGCAAATCTTTGGGTGTATCCTTTGCTTCCCTTAAAAGATTGAACTAGACTGGCGAACCCAGGCGTCTGAGTTCTAGGAAGGTCACTAACTGCACCCTGATGTCTAATGGGTGGAGTGGGGTTTTGGGGGTAAAAATCTCCAATTCTTTTTCTCCACTGAAATTTTCAACTGAAAATTGCAAATCTGCCAACAGCTCTCTAGCTGCTTGAAATACAGGTAAAATTGCATGCAAGTGGGTCAGCATTTTCCTCATTTCCCCCTCCCATAAATTCTGGAAATCTTGTGCCCGTCAGCAGCGTAAGAAAACACCCAGATAAAACACAGCAACATGCAGAAATCTGTCTGCCCATCTAGCCCAATTGGCCACATTATCACCGATCAGACCAAACTAGGACTAGCAGCGATCTGCTAATTCCAAACCACCACGTGGATGCTAGAAGCGTTAAAACACTTTAGCAATTCAGTTAAAAACAATAATAAAAAAAACCCTATTGAAATAAAGTAAGAGGGGTCTCTATATCAGAGTGCACACTTCATGGATTTCCGTGGGTTCACTCATTACCTCCCCCAATAGGAAGAGGGAGCAGAGTGTGCAGCCAATCGAGGGATTTCTGATCAGCTGAACACTTTGGAGGCAAGGGTTTGTGAGCTGTTGTCAAAAGAGTTCAGATCTGCTTGTAGTTTCCCCTGAAAATCTACAGAATGACACCAGGGACAGACTGTCCGGATTCTTGGGATCACAGACAGGATGGAAACGGCGGATAAAACTCGTCCATCTCCTTATAGGCATATAGAGCAATCCTTACCACCGCCTTTGAAATTTTGAAAATGAATTTAGTGCTGGGTGAAAGGTACTGGAGGGACAGCCCTAGGCCTCTTAATTCATAAGCTTGGGCCACACACATCATTCTACCATGTTTCCCCAGAGGGAAGAGTGGCTCATTTGGGCATTGGCTTCTCTGGCAGTCTCAACAATTTGGGGGTGAATGGTGACGGTTTTCAGACACGCCTGTCCCCTGGTCCAAGAGCCGTCAATCATCACACAAAGGCCACGAAATGGCGCAACCATCCTCCACTGCACTGGATCCAAAATGGGGCCCCAGAGACAAAGAACTTCACAACCTCCCACTAATCTCCTGTCTGGGGCTGGCTGAAAGTTTTTTCCATCAAAACTGGTTTTTGACGGAAAATTGGGTTTGTGGCTAAATGAAATATTTTGGGGGAAATTTCTGTTTTGCCGCAGAAATTTTGAATATATTTATTTTTGGGGCTGAACAACCAAATGCCCCAAAACAGATAGATGTTGATTTGGAAATGCTTCCACAGTGCATTATGGGAATCTCCCAAGATGCACCATGGCCAGGGGCTCCCAGGATGAACTGCTTCTTCTCTCTAAGAAGCGAGACTCTGGTGCATCATGGGAGATGTACTCTGACCAGGGAGTCTGGCCTGAAGTACAACTCCCATGAGCCTCTGCAACAGCATTTCCCAGTTGACTTTTTTCAGTTTTTGGCCAAATTTTTTTGGTATTGAAATTCCTGCCAAAAAATCTAAATTTTCCACAGGGATAAAAAAAAAAAAATTCAGCCAACTCTATCCCTGAGCCCTCCAATCCCATCCTGTCCCAGCTCAGCTAAACGACCCGCTGAAAGATGACCTGGTAAGACAGAGGTGCACATGGCTAGCACTTCCTGTAGTCTGCCTAGGACGGCAGCATGGCTGGGGTTTTATGATGCCTTGAGAAAGCGGGCACCGACAGCTGAGCATCACTCGCCACCGAGTTTGAGGGGAGACCTTGCAAGGAACGAGACCTATCTAAGACTGTCTGACAGACAGGGGCTATGGATGACAGCAGCTGGGGCAAAGCGGGACATTACGCCCCTGGTCTTGTTTAAAGGGACTCGTGCCCATTCACAGAGCAAGAAGCAGAAGCCAATGGTGAATCCCATTTATGGAGCAGGGCATGCAGTTCGGTCAGGGATCTCTCTGGTGCATCCTCACAAAAGCAAGATTCCCAAACCTGATTGGTGCATCTCCCTCTGCCATTGCTCTTCTGGGATTCAGAACTGGAAACAGACCAATGGGCCATGATTCACATTTACACAAAGGCCCCCTGACATTGCTCGGGCCACGGAAAGGGTCCTTCGGGCGCACTTTCAGGCCCTTTTAACACGGCTCATGCAGCATCCCGGGGCCTTAGTGTCAATGAGAATAAGGCCCAGTTCATCTAAATTTTCCGGACATCAAGGAAACCCCTCAAAAACAAAACAAATCTATCCAGCAATTCTTGAAAGAGACAGACGCCAACTCTGCCTCTCCTCCCCGGCTTTCCGGAGATCACCTGACTTTAAACCCTCGCGAAAGCGCCACCGAAGAGAAAGCAATTCGTAGGAAGTGATAGGAAACATTTTAAAAAGGCATGAATCGCTTTTATTTCAAATCAACTGATCAGCGCCCCCTAGAAATCACTATTACAAGCATGCGCCCTGCTACGGGTGGGCGGGGGGGGGGGGAAGAGGAGGGGAGGAGAGACGGGATGGTTCGTGTTACTGGTTTCTTTTTATTTCTTTTTTCCCCGAATTGCAGATGCGACGAGCCGATGAGGAACGAAACTGTTTAGCACCCAGGGAGCCCAGCGGGAAAGGAAGAGCCCAGACGATCAGCTCAGCTTGGGAAGGCCGGCCAGCTACAGACTGCGGGAGTGGAGAAGGAACAGGGAAGAACATTAAGGGGGATGAACGTTGCAGTGGCAGCAATCAGGATCAGGGCCGCATGGCGGAGGATAACGGGGGGGGCTGTCTCCTGCAATCGGATCCTGCCTGGAGCTCTCCCATCCAAGGAGTAACCAAGCCTGGCCCTTTGACCCCAGCAGAAGGGCGGAGGTCTTGCTTCCCATCCGCCCCCATTTCTTACATCCCTCTCCCCCTGAAGCGGACGGGCAAAGTCCTGCTGACCCTTAGGGCCTGATGCTGTGATGGGAACCAGCCTCCCTCCTCTGTAGGGGTGACGTGCCAGACCCCGCCCTCCTCCAGTCCCCTACCTCTCCTTGTGATCTCTGATTTCCTCCGCGGCGGCTTTCTCCTTCCCCTCCGGCTTGGCCTCTCTCGCGTCCGGGACTCCAGCGGGGTCGCTGTTCTTCTCTTTCTCCGCTTCGGCGGGGCTGGGCTTCTGTTTCTCTCCCTCCTTGGGGCCTTCTTCATTCTCTACTTTCTTCTCCCCTTCCTGGCCCTCCGCCTCTTTGGCGCGTTTAGGGGAGTCCTGCCAACGGGAAGGGGTCAACCGGGACCCACGGCGCCGCCGCCCCCTCCCTGCCCGGGCGCTGAGAGAGGTCCTGAGCTGGCTAATGCTAGGCCCTTGTCTGCAGGCACAGATCCGCTCCCACCAGCACCGTGGGGGGGTGTCTCTGATCTTTTCTCAAAGCGCAATCCCCCAACCCCCATCTCAGGGACCAGCCCTGTTCCCCGGTCTCAGGGACGGACCCCGATCTTTACTCCCTGAGCTCGGAGTTCCAGACAGCACTGTCCCCATGCCCTGGTCTGTCTCCGATCTACAGCCCGCTCCCTCCCTGGGCAGCTCACCGGGGTCCTCCCCCCCGACCGCTACCTCCAAGGCATCTTCCGCTTTCCGCTTGATCCCAGCCTTCTCGTTCTTCTCCTTGGTTTGCTCGTCGATCACCAGCTTGCCCTCTTCATCACTGCTGCCCTCCGCGTTGCCTTTCTTCTCACCGTCGCCCTCCGGCTCCTGCTCAGGTTCAGCATCCTCCGGGCAGCTCTTCTTCTGGGTCGGCTGCAGCGGGGGAGGGAGGACAGACAGACGGAGGAAGATGGAAGGGGGATACAGTTACTGCAAGGTGGTAGGAAGACCGGTGCCCTTGTCTCTGCCCCTCACGCCCGACAGCTGCTCCCCGGTGCCAGCTGCTGTCCAGGGTCAGGGATGGTTCTACACAGCCTATTTCTTCCCCCCACGACGATAGCACCTTGCAGCCGGTGGCCTCTCAAAGCACTGTTCAGCCGCGGCCAAAGGACACACAGAGAGAGCTGCAGCCACTTCTGGGGTGGAGCGTGACAACGGCTCGTGGGAGAGGAAGCAGAAAAGTTTCAACGGCAGGGGGAATTTAGGGAGGCGGGACTGAGTTTGCCGATTTCTGACCAGGACTCGGGCCAACACCCTCAACGCCTATGAAAAGATGGGTCTTGAATGACCCGAAGTCCTTGCTTTTAGCCATCTTCCAGAATATGGCACCGCCCAGAAGCAAAGCACCCTCTGGGGTACTGCCTCCCAGAGAAGAACGCCCCTCTGTGAATGCCCCAACCCCACTTGCCGAGTACCTAGAATGTCTTGGAGGTCTCCGATCCACAGCCCAGCCCTCGCTTAGCTAATAAGCGCTGACAGCGTCGCAGCAGAAAGCAGGGCTACTGCAGGCTACCCAGAGGAAAATTTTAGTCAACACAATGAGATTGCACAGCAGAGCCTTCTGCAGCCTGCAGAGAAAACCCACCCCCGAAACGTCAGTGCCGTGGGTTCACTCACTGATTCAAGTCATGGAAGACGCTGCTCCACCCGCCCCTTGCACCTTAAGAAGCTATTACTCTTGACAGGGTAAAGAGGACAGGCAGCGTGAGCTCAAGGTTCAAGCAGTGGACAAGGGCTCAAGGGATCTTGGTTATATTCCCAGATCTACCACTGGGTGATCTCGAGCAATTCGCCCCCTCTCCCCCCGGCCTCAGTTTCCTCTCCCACGCTTTGCTCGTGTGGCGTATTCAGACTGTATTGGACATACAGCTCCTCCCACCTGATATCGGTTGGGGTCTCTAATACGGTCATAACGATCATCATTAATGGGCAATTAAAACAGATTCATCCCTGAACCGGGAGCTGATCAAAGTTTTCCTGTAGAGATTCCCCACCCCAAAGCGGCTTTTCAGCAAAACTGAAATTCTTGCGAAAAACTTCTATTTTTGTCAAAACAATAATGGTGATATGGCTTTTCGCTGAAAAACTGAAAGCCAACGTTTTTTGATTTTACACCAGAACATTTTCCGTTTGGGGGATTTTGACTTTTCAACAAAGTTTTAGTCTAAAAATTTTCATGGGTGGGGAGAGGGGAGAGAGATAGTTTTCCCCACTGTCTTCGCTCCCCCCTGTAAGGGACTGAAGGAATAAGGCTCTCGTTAACTTCAACCAACGTTGGATCAGGGCAGGAGAGACTGAGGTCAGCTTTCCTGTCCTATCCCCATTTTACAGACAGAGAAACTGAGGCACAAAGAGGGGCAGTAACTGATTAAGATCACCCAGCAAACTGGGGAAGAGCTGGGAATAGATTCCAGGAGTCCCAGCGCCTCCTGCTCTAACCACTCGACCCCACTCCCCTCCCAGAGCCAGAGCCAGAATCCAGGAGTCCTGACTTCCAGCCCCATACTTTACCCACATAATTAAATTCCTTCTCCCCCTTGAGGATTACCTGTCTTTAGGAGAGTGGTATCTTGAGCTCATGCCTGAAAAGATCACTGGGTTGGGGTCACTTAACCCCTTCAAACCGCCCCGCTCACCTTCCCCAAAGCCCCGACTTAGGATGTCTCTCTCCGGTGCCTGTCCCCAGCAACTACAACCACCGGCTACTGGCGCACCCGGGGAGAAATCACTACTTCGCTCCAGTGGAAGACTCTTGGTTTTTTGCTGGCAAAGGTCCTGGGTTCGATCCCCGCCGAAAGCCGTAATGCCAGCATGGATTTGGCCATCGCTTTCTTGTATAACAAAGGAGCCCAGAGTGGAGTTGCTACAGGTAAAATTCACCTCTGGGCAAAGGATGTGCAGGCCTCTGCCCGAGGACAAGCTCTGCCCTACGGGAATCAGCCGGGGGCCAGCAGAGAGGTTTAACAGGTAGACGCACCTGATACCCAGAGGCTTTGACGGTCGGGTTGTTCTCGATCTCCCACAAGCCTTCGCTGAACCCTTTCCGTTTGTTGGGCTTCCCGAACTTCTCCTTGCACTCTTCGTAGGGGAAGAGGTCTTTGGGACCCAGGAACGCCCTGCATGGTGGAAAAGAGAAGAAGCAGTAATGACAGGCCACGCGCGATACGCCTCCACAGCACCCCCTCGCTGAGGATTGCTAGGCAAACGTTCCAACCGCAACCTGCCTGGGAGGCAGGATCCGCTGGTGAAACTGAGGCACCAGGCATGGAAGTAACTTGGGGATTTCAAAGGCATCTGAGGGAGAGAAACACCCAACTCCTACAGAAAGTCAGTTGGTCCCTTAGGAACTTCGTAAATCCCCACTCTGATTTCCTGGACCTGCCTTATCCAAGTTTTTTGTCGGTGAATTCAATATTGGGGCTTATTAAAAACAACCCTCCGTTGCTTCAACAGAACTCTGCATGGGGGGGGGTTGTTACATCAATGGGAGGGGGGGTCTCTTGAAACTTCTCCACGATCCAGATCACGAATGTTTCTACAGCTTCCCCCACCCGCCCAGATACAGCAAACCTGGATACATTCCTAGCACCACAATGATCAAACCAACCTCCAGTGGCATTAAATACCTTGATGTGACCCCACCCAAGCACTGAGATGGGAAAGGCTGCTGCTGGGTTGGAGGCAGACAGGCCTACGCTGGTTGGGGGGATATTAACATTTCTATTATTATTTGCATTGCAATAGCTCCTAGGAGCCCTAGCCACGGACCAAGAGCCCATGGTGCTAGGCGCTGTACAAACACATGGTCCCTGCCCCAAGGAGCTTACTATGGGAATATCTTGGTCTATTACATTCATCTTATTTTTAGTGTCGGTCTGTTGGAGGAGGGAAGCTCCCACCCACAGGGGACAGCTCTGGTTACACCACAGGAAAGGGGCAGGCACCAACGGAGACCATTTCCTCTCTGATGTCATTTCATGCTAGGCCTCCCCCTTGTCTTGCTCCCATGCCCCTCCCTCATCACCATCTCCCCTCTGCCCCGAGAGAACCTGACAAGGAGGAAGGCTGTCCCGGTGAGGGACACACCTCATGTCACGAGAGCACGGTGGAGGGTCTTGCTGGAAAGAGACTGGGTGCCCTTCGATGGCTCTGCTAACATTTGAACACAAGACCCTACCCTTGGCCAACTGATGCATTTGCCTTAACCCTGCTCATGTGATTCTGACTGACACCCCCGTCTCACTCCCCCCCACACACATTCCCGTGCCCTTACACACACGTGTGTTCCCCCGCCTCCCCGCCCCCATTTTAAAAATCTCACTCACGTTTCATGGGTCCCGAAGAAGAAGACTTGGTATTTATTGGAGGAGGATTTGACGGCGGCTTCTGGCATCTCGTCGATCTGTTCAGGGGACACAAATCGTGGGGTGAGACACAGAGAACGAACAGCCCCCTATGCCCCAACCCAAAGCCACGCTGAACGGACGCAGCTGGCCCCCCCCCCCCCCCGACTGTTCTCACCCAAGAGTTACACACACACACATAACTCACGCCTGGTTTGTTGAGGTGCCAGCGCACCCCGATCTTTACACGGCACCTCAACAAACCAGGTGTGAGTTTTTTGTGTGTGTGTGTAACATTCGAGCCTCAGCCGGGCACAACAATGCTCAGAGATGAACTGAGAACAAAGGTCAGGTTGTTCACCAACCCTTGATCTCCAAAGTTCTCCAGGAAAGAAGATGGAAATATTTGGGACACGTGTTAGAGGCCAATCGAAAGCATCCCTCCACCCTTCAGCAAAGGGTCGATGTATGAGCTTTAACAATCCAAATCTCCCGTGTTTGTACAGCGCCTTGCTCTTCCAGAGCACCTTTCATGGGCAGATCTCAAAGCGCTTCACAAAGGAAGGTCAGTGTCATTAGCCCCATTTTACAGATGGGGAAACCGAGGCTCAGAGCGGGGAAGTGACTTGCCCAAGGTCACCCAGCAGGCAGAGCCGGGATATAGAGATTGTGCAAAGAGCGGCCCAGGACAGACAGGTATGTGCAGCCTCGTGGATGCGCTAAGTGATGTCTCATGGCGTAGGCCGATTTCCAGTTACTTGGAAATGAATCATTTACTGACAAACACACAAGAAAAAAGCAAATAATGTGTTTAAGACGTAGTATCCAACTAGCTGCAGGGCTAGATGAGGAACGAAAACATTTATTGGCAAATTAAATTATTTGCCAATTGGCAGGGGAGGTGCTGGAGGGGATGAGAATCTTAACATAACACTCGCAGGGAATATTATGTTGCGTGCCCTGAGCCGAGGGCCAGGTTAGCCGAAAGGAGCTAGCAGCACCAGTCTAGCCTCGAGACGCACACGGATCAGGGCATAGGCGGAGATCAGGGCCAACATTGTTCTTGCCCCACAGAGCTCACAGTCTAGACAAAGGAAGGGTTTATTACCTCCATTTTACAGAAGGGAAACTGAGGCATGGGGCAGGACCAGGGATTAAAGCCAGCTCTCCAGCCCAGTGTCTTCCCCACACACCCACCCTTTCTCCCAGGGGGCTCTTAACCAGGCTTCCTCTGCCCAGCGTGAAGGGGGATTTTACATCCTGAGGCCTGGGCTATATACACCAGCCATCCCCGAATACACTGCCCCACCTGCTGCTGCTGCTTCTTTGCATGTGTGTTGCTCAGGTGGTCTGTCCTTGCTGTGGCATTATGGGATAGCTACCCAGAGCTCCCCCCCACACACACACGGCAGGGACCGTCTCTTGTTTTGGGCATGCACCAATCCCGGCTGAGGCCTCTGAGCACTGGCGAAACATGACTGGAATTATGAACCATTTTCCCAGAATGCACCAGCCAGGTGCCATGGTTGGTAGCAGCACAGCTGCACCAAGACAGGTGACTTGTGGCGGGGCTGGGACCAAAGCTGCCGGTCAGCACAACTTCCCCATGTGAGTTGTCGTCAGCCAGAGCAGTGCGAGGATCCATTGTTGCGCCTGTAGTGTGGACAGGACCTGCACGCTGGTTTTGTACCAACACGATGTATTAACTTGCTTTGCGATAGCGCCCGTGGCACCAGGCGCTGTACAAACACAGACTAAAAGGACAGCCCCTAACCCCAAAGAGTTTCCAACCGTCCTATGTCCCTGGGCACCGCGGATGGGGTAAATCAAGCTTTGAAGCACAGCTCTGATCCCTGGGCGGTCAGCAGCCCCCAACTTCATAGAACATGCACCCTGCAGACATTAATATATTGAACCTTGCAAACAGGGGCACGATCCTCTACCACCCTCGCACAGCCATTCAAACCAGTGCAAAACCGGGGGCCGAAACACAACCAAACCCCCAAGGATCTGGCCCGGCGTGAACGAATGAAATACAGCCAGAGAACCCAGTGGGCATAGGTCGGGTGTGCAAATAACCTCCGCAGTGACCATGGACATTTTACTCCGACTTCTGCAGGACACCCGCAAGCTCTCAGGCAGCCAATTAACTCCTCGCTACTAAATTATGCCTGCCACAGAAATAGCCTCCCTCTTGCTAAAAACCTTACTTTTCCTGCTCTCCCCCGCCCGCCTCCAAACCCAGCCTTTGCAACTGGTGACAACACAGGGCACGGCCCCGAAGAGCGAGAGATGATTTAGGATTGGCTCTTTTCCTAGCCAACTGTAAGCTCTTGTCTAGACTGGCTCAGACATATTTAGCTCAGCAAATTCGCCGGCCCGCGCTAGGGCCGTGTGCTAAAAGGAATGTCCGTTTCAGAGAATCTGGGGACAGTTGTAACAAAGCAGAAAAAAAACCCCACCCACAGATCAGATCCAATCAGGACAGAGCCGCTGGTCTGAAACATACATAGATCTGAATGTTGGGGGGGTGGGAGCGGGAGGTAGACCAAGGATCCCTGGATCTAGACTGGCAGAGGGCCCACGGACTTGGTGTAACTCTAAAACAGTGGAGTTGGCTCGCTGGGGTGGAGTCCGTTAGCAATTGGGAGCCAGAGAGAGCATTGGTGGGGGGAGCCACTTTGATTTGTTGCCACTTAATCTGAACCCAACCCTGCGCAGTAAGGTTCTTTCCACAGCACTACCGGGGTTGGCCGCTGGGCGATTAAACGGTGCAGCTGGAAAGGGGGCAAGGCTTTCAAACCGGTTTGGGCGCCGACTGATTCCTACGTCCAAACACAGCAATTTCAGCCCGCCTAAGAGGGCAACAAAGCAAAACAAATCCAAACGCCATTTAGCAACCAGCGGCTCTCTCTCCTGGCCCAATGAAACGGCCACGAATTCAATCAGGAACGTTTCACTGCAAGATTTAACGCAAATGCACATAGACACGCAGCCTCCAACCGGCCCTAACTCCTACGCCCGACGGTCTGCACCCATCTGCACATTGCAACAAGCTTCGGAATTCCCCACCCAGCCCCCTACCCAGATCCAGCTGCTGCGGGCAGGGAGCGTCTTTTGGGGCTGTGTTTGCACAGTGCGTGGTACCAGGGAGCCCTGACCAGGGCCCCAGCTGGTACTGCAAACACGAATAACGACCAGAAACGTTAATTTTTCTGGTTATTCCTCCGTTTTCCAGGATTCTTCCGAACTGGGCCCCACGCGGTGACAGGGTCAAACTGTTGAAAAACGATTCTCTCATGTGACGTTTTAGATCTTGGCAAAAATCCTGCACTGATGCAGGGGGGGGGCTTGGCGGGTGGGTAGGAAAATAAGCAAGGGGTGGGACCAGACCGAATAGTCTTGAGTCCAAGACAACATGGCAGTATCTTCTTTACACCAACGCTCAAGCCAGGAGTCAAGGCCCCTTTTCCAAATCACTGTCTCATGGCAGCACCAGACCCGGGCATTTCGGAGGCCTAGGGGGATGGTCATTTCCAGTACGGTATCCAGGAAAAACGAGCTGGGCAGAATACAACATGCAAGACCCAAAGCATCCCCCCCAACCCCCTTGTTTCATAAATCGCCCTTCCCCGCAGCAGCTGGTCTAGGGAACACGACACCATGACACAGAGAAATTCCTCTGCCGCCACACACCTCCGCTGCATGGGGTGTCTGACTTCAACCACAACATTAAAATTCTCCACAGCAGGCTGGGATAACAATGCAGCTTTTCCACTTGGCTGGGGATCAAAGGCTGCCCTGCGGGATGTCTGGGGTGGGGTGGGGTGGGGGAGCTAGGGGGTGGGAGGTCATATCCCGGGGCCCTTTGCATGCAGGGAATAGAAAGCCCCGCGCCTAAAAAGAAATAATCACTCCTCCAATGTCTGCCCTCCACTCCCTCGGTTTAGAAAGTAGGCAGGAGTGGGGGAAGGGGGTCAATTGTAATTGGATTGGCTAAAAACCATCTAGAAAGGCGAGGGGCGCTGTTCAAGTGATGCAGCGTGGGTTAGTAGTGGGGGGGGGGCTGGGAATCGGGACTCCTGGGTTCTAATCCCAGTTCTGGGAGGGAAGCGTTGTCCAGTGGGTTAGAGCAAAAGGCCCTGGGTGTCAGGCCTCCTGGAAGCTCTGCTGCTGCTGTGCAGTGTGGCTTTCATCAAGTCACTCGCTCCACTCTCTCTGCCTCAGTTTCCCCATCTATGAAATGGGGGACAAGCTGTTTATAAAGAGCTCTGGGATCTGTGTAAGTGCAACACCCCGAACATCCCCTGGTCTTGGGCCTGCACCCCCCCCCCACTCTCCCCACCACCCCCTACCCCCCCCCGCCCCCTCCCCCCCACCACATAACCTGGCTCCCCAGTCCCGCCAGGTGACCACACACACCAGCTCCCCGCACTGTCACACCAGCTCTTTCACACACAATCACAGTCGCTCGCTCACAATTGCAACCCCGCTTAACCCCCTCCCCCACAGACGCTCACAACATATCACACTACCCCTCCCCCCACACGCTCGCAGCAGCCCCTCCCCCTTGCACACACCCGTTCCCCTCCCCCTCCGAGAGCAGTTCCCCTCGTGTGTACACACACACACACACACACACACACACCAGGCCCCCCACCACTCTCACAATGCATCCCTCCCTTGCCCCCACTATCACACCAGAACCTGCATGTGCACACAGACACACACACACACACCATTGTATGCCACCCTGGGCTCCTCCCCCGGCTCTCTGGCCTGTCCAATAACTAGCTCCCCATGCTGCCCCGGCCCCTGCAGACTCAGCGTTGAAAAAATGTAGCCCCGGCTGCCCCGCCACCCACTGCCAGGCCTGATAGAGACACCACAAAGGAAACCACAAGCTCCTGGTTGGGCCCGATCCCCTGCCCCCAGCCACACTCTCTGTCCTCCCCCCACCTCACCCCCGCCCCCTGCTCCCGGGGATCATCGCACGCCCGGGACAGACAGGAAAAGAAAGTTTCACGGACGGGGAAACCCACACGTGCCCAAATCAAAA